TTTTTTTAAGGCTTCTCCTGATATTACCAAGGTATGTTTTCCTACAGGTGCATATTCAGTGTGATTTAATAACTAAATTGTACGTGAATTGCACAAGTGAAACAAAACAGAATGTATTGTGTTCCATCAGATATTTCTGTACATATCTACACATGTACAATTTTTAATTTTGACATTCTTGTCCCTTGGCTTCGCATTTGAGTAAAGTTGTCTAGAGGAATTTTTGGCACTCCTAGAATGTGGCAACGCTCTTAAAACTACATGTTTTGTATTTTTCAGTTCAGATTGAAATCAGACATATAATCCACCTGTCAGTAAAGAAGTGAGACTTGAAAAATCAGGTTTTTGTTGTTTTTTTAATTGTCCTTCTACATCGTTCTGTGTGGCTACACTTCATCTGGAATGATAGACAACTCAAACCAAAGAGGGTACACCGGTATCAAACAGATGATGAACTACAATGTCATTTCAAATAGAGAGAACCCGAATTAAAATTAAAATATTCGATTGTGAGATGCCTGGTAACTTGTCTCAGCAGTGCCCATCAAAAAGAGCAAATACATGATGTTCTGTGTTGTCTCGAAAACTTCCTGATGCCCGTCAGTCTTTCAGGACCAAGGGGCCTAAGTGACATCCTAAGTCCTAAACCACGCACTGAGAAATTTGGTTACGAAAGAAAAAAGTTTGTCCTTTTTCTTCTTTGCAGTGAGCTCCCTGGTTTCCCTTCTGACCCACTACAGACAGGAAGGGCACCTCTGGGGTCTGCTCAGCATTCCCACCCAGGTCCGCCAGGGCTGCGTGCCTGAGGAGCGCAGCACCAGCCCAGCAGCAATTTCCTCAGTCAGACCCTACCAAAAGGTTTAATTATATAGCTGGAACTGATTTTTATTTTTTCTCGTCTGCAAGCAGACATCAGAAATTTGCACAGGCCATTCTTCAATAAGAAATGTGAAAGAAACACAAAATGTCTGTATGTCCAAAAGTACAAAATATACGTATCTCCTCATGTGAGAGCTGAAAGGTTTAATACTCTGACTAATATTTCTCTTCTACAGCTAAGGCATCAGATTTCTGACCTGTCAACAGTCCTTTATAAAAAAATGAGACGTATGTATATTTCTATCCATTTTTAATTATATTTTATGAATGATGATCTGTATATTATTACCTCTCAGCTGCAAATTGACTATAACTTATAAACAAATATCAAGAAGACTGAGGCCCGAATCCTGCTCCCATGAAAGCCAGAGGAAGGAGAGCCATAAATTTCTACATGAAAATTTCTAGGCTTCAAAGTAGACTGTGCTAAAGGAAAAATTGTATGGCATCAGGTGAGATCAGGTACAAAAGAAATGGAACTAAAGTACAAACTATAATTTATGCGGGGGGGGGGGGGGGGGCCGGGAAAAAAAAAAAGTTTTTTAAATCCCCAAATTTTACAGGCATCACTTTTTTTCCAGATTTGAATAGCTGGAAAGAAAAGAAAAATGAGATTTGTTGGCAATCTCAACAGATCTTTTAGGCTGAACACAGAATGTGGGATAGGGCCCAGCGTGTTTATATTGAACAATAATAAATTGTCTATGTTGGGAGACTTGACTCGAATTGCAGCTGGAAAGGTTTCTTTCCATTTTTTCTTTCCTTACTGATCTGGTTCAGCCAGGGCATAGCTGTAATTACCTTCTTCCCATCTACAGCTAATACCTCAGAGCAATAAAAAAAATACGAGGGTGTTAAAAATTCAAACACTAATTATGGGCTGTTATATTTACTAAACACAGCAGAGTAATAACAAAAGTTTCAGCTTCTTGTGGCCAGAGCTACACTATTTGATCTTCTAAGTCCCCGGACCCCTTACACTTACTGTATTACATAACAGTTAATAGCGCACTAAAACAAAATTCGATGTACACATTTATTGCCAAACACATACAGCACAACCGCGTACAGATGTCTCCTCTTTCCAGCACAGGTATACCTCTGAAGAGTTCATTCCTTTGTTGATTTTGCTTTTGGTTTCCAGCTAAGTTATATAAATAATACAGCAGCAGATTTTGAAAGGGGAAGCGTTATATCTCAGCATCCAGGTTGAAGTGCTGTGGTAAATATTGGCTAATCCCATCACTCTTTTTGTTACTTATGGCAATTTTCAGGTCTAGCCAAGGAACGAAAACGAGAGCTGCATTAGGTGTCGGTTCCACTCTGCCACTGTCACTGCTGCCAGCCCTTGCACACACAGAAAACACACACACAGGATGTAGCTTTATAGCGCTTAATAAGAACAGAGGTGTGTGGATTTTTGGGGTGTCAAACAGCTGTCACAAACTGTCACCTCCACAGGAGAAACCTTGGCACACAACAAATGCAACTACACTGCTTTTTGGCTATCATTATTCACAGCCAATCAGCGGAGCTGCTCCTGGTATTTCATGTGCAAATAAAACCATGAGGGGAAGACCCCTGGATCAGAATAGTGGGCCAATACATAAAACAGAGGAAACAACATGCTGTCTCTGTCCCTCTGAAGTGGCTCATCATCACCCCTGCACCAACTTTCACCAAATGAGATCTAGCCTGGGGCTATATATTAAATATGCATATCAAAGCAAATGAAAAAATAAACCTGGAGAGTCAAATTGGACAAATTTGCATGCTTGAACTATTACATTTTCAGGTAGATGCTTGCAAATGATAGCATGCTTTTTGATAGTCATGCATGTTTATATTAGCAATTTTTAAAGCTTTTCCTACTTTACAAACAAAAGATTTCTTCCTGATGCAGCCTTGTACAATGTAAACACCAATGTGTACATAAACAGTAGTTTGACCAAGCTGTAAAACAGTGTTAAAGTTTTGTTGAGAAAACAAGCTAATATATTAAAAATAAAAAAATAAAAAAAAAAATCCAGTAAGGAGACACATTTCCCAAAACGCATGAATAAAATGTAACTATGTGATACAACTCTTCATTTCCCAGTTGGTGTTCTGGTTGCACAAATTATTGCTTCCTTTCAAAACAAATAGCAGGGGGCTAAAGTAAAAATGTTATAGCTCAAATCTCCAGGAAATAAAAGGCTTTAAATTATAATACCCAATGAAGTGGTAAACCCTAACGGGTGTAAGATAAATGGGTTGTCATATTTATTTGAGTTTGCTTTTTGGGCCACAAAAAATAAAAGGAGATTCTTCTTAGGGAAGATAATGGTTATCAAATTATCAAAATGCTAACCCCCTCCACCCCTGTCCTATCATTGTGTGTGAATTTAAATATTATAATGGAGCACTGCAAATTGGCTTGAGCATTCGCCATCTGCCAGAACCCTAAACAGGCTAGTTTATCTAATCTCCTCAATATAAACATAAGCATGCTCCATTTCTACACTTCCACTTGAAACACACTCTTGTAAAGAAACCGTACTAGAAAAACATGGAGGTTTTTTTTTTTCTTCTTCTATTGCTCTGAATTATACACAATGACCCTATAGCTTTCAGGGTGCCACTCACTCTAATTTCTTTTCTCCTACTCCTCCATAATACTTATGCACGCGCATTTAGGGTTGTAAAATGCCATAAAACAAATATTTTTGAAACAGTGTCATGCCTCATAGACTTTATTATCTACATGCGAGATAACTGACAAGCGGAGAAACTTTCAGGGACCACTGTGTATACATTTCTCCCCTCAAAATAATAGATTTCAAATGCACAGCATCATAGAAATCTTGTTCTGCAATGTTTACCTCACGCAAATGAGAAAATGAAAGCTAAGTCTTGGCTTCAAAAATATTTCCAGGGCTCTGGAACTAAGCAATACCAGGAGAGGGGTTTTTAGGAGAATTTATGATCATCTCCCAATTCAGCTTCAGTCCAGGTCTAATGCAATTACCAAACACACACACAAACAACGTGTTTTCAAAGGAAACAAAAGCTCCTGGAAAGCTGCTTCTCCCTGGGCTGAGAGCTGCTCTGCTTAACGCGCAGGGAAATGAGGGCGGGCGTCTGTGCAGAGCATGGTTAACTTCACACCGGGTGTTAAATTAATATTTCAACTGCTAAAATATTAGACTGTATCATTTAGATTATGAGTTCAATTGAATCTAAAACTGCGTAAACCCCCTTTCCCCCCTAGGGATGCGTTTCCTATAAATAAACCAGAGTTCACACCCACTCTTTTTAACCAGAGCTCTCCACTCCCTCTCTGCGGTACCAGCTGCAATCTTTCCCTGCACATCCCGAGGTCTCTCTTCCTCTCCATGTTTCTGAGTGTCACCAGAGCTGCTCCCATCCCGGAAAAACAAAGGCTCTCTGCTCACCACGCACACCAACTTCAGTCCTACACACATAGCATGAATTCACCAATTCCGCAAGTGTTAAAATCAACCACTAACCTACAGTTACTCCATCATCGTTCTCTCCAGCTTTCTGTAATACATTGTTAATAATTGGTTCATCAAGGTTACTGTCTTTTATTATGAAGATGCTTCAGGCGTTTGGCAATAAGTCCATATTCTGACAATAAGCTGCTCTAAAGCACAAGCATTGGAAACTCTCATATGCTAACCCCCTTCTTTAATGCAATGTAGTATTGCCAATAATTCTCATCACTTGTCATCCCCGCCAGAGGGGAGGGGGGAGGAGAGCAGCAAACTTTCTCCCTAACTTTCTTCTCTCTGTTTTCATGTGTTGTTGCATAGACTACAGAGTTGGCAAAGAAGGACAAAAAGCACCGAGCACCACACCAAACAGTTTGCTGCCTTCCCGAGTCGCCTGGACCAGCAAACTTTACCAACCACTGCAAACTCACGGTTGGAAACAGAAGGCAAGTTTCGCATTTTTACAACTTTAGAAACCGAGAGGGAAGGCCTGAAGGTGGGATCCAACCTTACTAAAGGTGGAAACAGTACCAACAAACAACAGCCACAGACAATGAAACCAGGGACCGGTTCTCTGAACAACTTGAAAGTGTCAGAAAGTGCCATGAAGAAATCAGAAGGACTTACATGGTCGGCTAAATTTGTGGAAGATCCTGAGAGTTCCTCATGGTCTGACTTGGAGCTGCCATCCCTTTCATCGATAACGAGGTCTATTGGCATTTTTCCTTTCAAACAACTAATGTACCGATGGCAGAAGTTATCGCACAATTCGTGAACCTGAAAGCAGCAACAGGAGTGATAGCATCAGTAAGGGCAAGCTATCGGATTGCAGCTCTTTTTGGGAGCAAGAACACACTCTGAGCTCCTCCACGAGTAACTCTAATTAAGGGGCACAATAGTTGAAGGCAAGGAAACAATAGAGAAATTGTTGCAGCGCATATTATTCTCCTGAGACTTGCAGCAGCAACAAGTTACAGAGAGAGAGATAGTGTGCTCAGCCCGGCGTGCGGGGCAAACCCGATGTGCCGCTCCCCCAGCGGAAGGAGCCGCAGTCCGGCGGTAATTCCGGGCCGGGCCAGCTACGAGCTCAGGACCGTGGGGCTCGGGAATGGGCCCGGTCAGTCCGGGGAGAGCTGGCGAGGTTCAGGGAAAGGCGCTCCCGGCGCGGGCGCAGCCCCTCCCGCACCATGCAGGGCCCCCTGCCTCCTCCAAACATTTACTGCTCGTTTGGGGTTAATGCGCCTGGCGGAGCGGGAGGGAAGCGGGAGGGCTTGCATTTCTCTTTTGGTTAAACATAGCGTTTCCGAGTCAGGAAAAGAGCTTCTGCCGAGAGAAGGGGTAAGGAGGATGTCACGGGTTTAATAATGTATAGATTTAATGACTCGGTTGAAATTACACAGAACAAAAAAATGCCGGGCCGGGCTGGGCATGGCTGCCGGTGTCACATGCTCCGGTGGCACAGGTTATGGTGTCACCCAGCGCTCCCTCACTCCCGGCCGTGTGCCCGCTCGGTCCAGGGCAGGGACAGGGGCGGCCTGCACCAATCCCAGTGCCTCTTACCTTCTCTAACTCCAGGAGGTGGAACCTTAGTACTTGTATTGCTTGGATCATCTGCAAGAGAGTTGGAGCAGGGGTTAGGTGGGAGAGAGGAGCTCGGGGGTGCGACCCCAAAGGTGTTGGGGGAGTTGTCAGGGCGGTGGTCATTCCCATGGATCTCAACCCCTCCGTCACGCCTGAGCGATATGAATCAGCTTTATCCCGAGTACTCGGTTTCTATCAGATTGATTCGGGGTGAGGGGTGAAGCAGACTCTTCCTCTGCTCTAGGAGGGGCCGTGGAGGGCCGAACACACGCTCTCACCCCCCCCACCGCCCGGGGAAGAAAGGGGAGGAGGGAGATGAATAGTTTGGCGTCTTCTTTACAAGAGGATTTAGGCACTTTGAATATTGAAATCGTTCACATTAGCAAAAGAATTAACGCTAGAAATCTCCAGCTCCCTCTTCTTAAGCAGTTATTTCCTTCACTTTGGCTTCCCGCGGCTTCTAAGCCCGCTTCGCGGCACGCCAGGGCCGGAGCGTTTGCCCCGGCTCGCCCCGAGCGCGGCCCTCGGAACCCCTCAGGGAGGCGGGAAGCCCTCCCGGCCCGGCCGCCTCCTGTCCCGCTCGGTGGGCGCTGTCCGGGACTAGGGGCGGGCGGAGGACGGCGGGCGCAGGGGTGAGGCCTTACCAAATTGTCCAACTCTGGGTTTGAAGAAAAAAGTGGTTTTTCAGCGCGGACCTACGAGAAGAAGGAAAAGCGGCGTGGGTTGTGGCTTCTTCCTCCAGCCCTAGGGATCCCCTCTTTGCAGCCTCCCCCCGATCCTCATCCACGGCCCCTTCCATCGGGCACGGGGTGAGGACCCGGCCCGGAGGGCACCCGCCGCCCCCTCCCGCCCCCACCGAGGGGGGCCCCGGGGGGAGCGGTGCCGGACCTGCTTGGCGAAGACGGCGATGTCCTCGTTGAAGGAGTCGGAGGAGCAGACGTCCCCGCCGGCCACGCCGGGCTCCCGGGGCGTGCAGGTCGCCAGCTCGCACTTCTCAAAGACCAGGGCGAGGAGGGGAAACAGCGGGTGCCTACCGGGCAGTGGCACACAAAGGGCGGGAGGGGGGTGGGGGAGAGGGGGGAAGAAGAGCTCTGATCAACAAGTAATTTGGAAACGCACGGACACGCACGGACACGCGGACACGCTCTGCAGACTCCCAATATCGCTTCGGGAGGAGCGGGGCAGAAGCCCATTTTGAAATAAAAACGTGGTTTTTGCGGGTTTGGGGTCTTGTTTCTTTCGGCAACCGCGAAAGCCCCAACGCATCCCCTGTGCAGCCCCCGCAGCCGCGGACAGAGTGCCCGGCCCAGCGCCCTATCCTCTCCCGGGAACCTCCTCTCTGCACCGCGGTTTAAAATAACGCGAAACGCGGAGTTCCCAGCCCTCCTCTCCAGCTATGACCTACAGGGCGCACCGCGGGCAGGCAAACTGCGAACCGCTCGGAACGGGATTTTATTTTCACAAGGGGCCTGCTAGTAGCACTGCACTAAAGTTCCCTGGCCTCGCAGCACCCGGGGCCAAACAGCAGTGTCCGAGCAGGGCGTGGGGAGGGGGCAGGGGGCGGCAGCGCTTCGCCGAATATTTTCCCATAGTTGGTGCAGTCAGGAAAAAATATCTGATCTGCGTGCTGAGCATGAGGACTCTGCTGGTGTGCTCTCTTGTTTGGGTCTGAGCAAGGCCCACACTCCACCGCGCACCGCACTCACTCCTTCGGGATAATTGGGGGTTTCTTTTAAAAAGGGAGTACTCGGTGCCCCCCGGCAGCGCACGAGGCCGCACTGCTCTTCCTTCCCGCACCCTTTCTCTGCTCCACACAGAGCTCCACGCTGCCACCAATGCTCACTGCTCCCTTCTCGGGAAAGAACAGCTCGTGGGCAGCGAATCCCTCCTGTTTCGCCCGTGATCAGAGCAGCCCTTTATTTACAGCACAGTATTGTGGCACGGAGTAAAGCACCAACACTACACTTCTTCCACCCAAACTCAGAACACCGCGAGCCTGAAGTGCTGCCCTGGCCTTCGGAGCGAGACAAAAAAAACCTCACAAAAAAGAAAAAAAAAAAAAGAAAAAAGAAAGAAAAAGAAAGAAAAGAGAAGAAGAGAAAGAAAAAACAAAGCAGGGGGAAAAAAAAAAAAAAAAAAAAAAATCAACCAGGGCAGCACCCCCGGGGCCTTCCTCGCGCGGTGCCCCGCAGCTACCTCCCGGGGCGCTGCCACCGCAGCCGGGCCCCGGCTCCGCGCCCCCCTCCGCGCCACTCCGGTCCCGGGGCGCTCCCCCGGCGCCGCTCCGCGCTGCCCTCCCTCTGCCGGCCCGGGCCCTGCTGTGCCTACCCGTAGATCGCATCCTTGTCCCGCTTCAGAGCGTCGTTGACAGCGGAGCCCATGCTGGCCGGCATGACGTTGGGGTGCGGGGCGTGGGCGCCGTAGTGCTGTCCGGCATGTAGCGGCGGCCCATGGTTGAGGTGGTGCACCGGGGGGATCGGCCGGGGGGCGTGCGGGTCCCCGTACATGGACGCCGGCACCCCTACGCCGTCCATCCCGCCGTAGTGGGGTAGCTCATCGTACTGTCAGCGCGGGCCGGAAGAAAGAGAGAGGGAGAAAGAGGGGAAGGGAGGGGGGGAGGAGGGGGGGATAAAAAAAAAACAAACAAACAACAACAACAAAAGTCAGAAGAGAGTGGAGCACCCGGCCAGGCGCCAGCAGAGCACAACAACCCGGGAACAGCCGTAACGGAGAGACGGGAACGTGCGGAGGGATCGGCCCGGAGCGGAGCCGGGGGGGCTGAGCGGGGCGCGGAGTGCGAGAAGGAGAGAGAGGGGAGAGCGCTGGGGTGCGGGGTGCGGGGCCGCCCGCGGCGGGGCAGCCCGGCCGGGTCGCGGGGAAGGAAGGAAGCGAGGGGAGAAGCCAGAGCTGCTCCGCGTTAGGAAGGAAGGAGAAAAAAAAAACCATATGAAGGAATAAAGAAGCAGAATCCGAAGCGGCTCGAGAAATAAATCAGCGCCGGGAAGGGGAGAGCAGAGGTAGGGTGCATCGGAGGGGGCGGGAGGTAAAGGGGGAAATAATCGGAAAGTTACCAGAAACATTATTTAGCAGCAATTCCCCTTGTCTTGTCAAAGCCAGAGAAAAAAAAAAAAAAAAAAAAAAAAAAAAAAAAAAAAAAAAAAAAAAAGCAGCCGCTCTATATGCACACATATATCCACGCCCGTATATGTGCACACCCGGCCGCAGCGCTTCCCGAGGCAGCGAGCCGGGAGCGGAGCGGCGCTGCGGGGAACGGCTGCGACGAGCGAGCGTGGAACAACCGCGAGGAGAGGCACACGCACAGCACTCACGCACACGCACGGCAAGCGCGGGGATCACCCGGGCTCTGCTGGCTAACAGGGGCCGCCATCAGCAGCAGCACCGGCGGAGAGCAAATCGGACAGGCCCCTCTTAGGGAGGATTTATCTATAGGTAAGGGTTGGAGATTTAAACCTACCCTTTGCGCCATCAGTCTGCGCTCCAATAAACTCCTGGATGTGCCGTATATTTAATATCCCAGTGTCCCAGTCCAGCAAAGAAAGTGATTTAGAGTGAAGAAGAGTCTTTTTTTTTTTTTTTTTTTTTTTTTTTTTTTTTTTTTTTTGCCACCCACTTACAGACTTCTCCTATCCTCCGGTACGGGGAAATACCACCACCACCACCACCAGCAACGAGAACGCACAAAAAACAGCCAGCAAACACGATGAGTTTCTGTGTATTTCTTCTTTTTTCTCTCTCTTTCCTTTTTCTTTCTCTTTTTCCTTTTTTCTTTCTCTACGTACCAAACAAACAAAAAAAAAAAAAAAAAAAAAAAAAAAAAAAACCACACACACGGTCAAGCCCCCACCGTGCGGGTTACGATCGGCCCGTCAGCAGCCCACATGGAACCGAACTGTCGTGTCTCATGGCTTTTTGCCACTCCAGCTGTCAATCAAAGCCAGGGAATGTCAAGGTAGTGAATGAGTGATGGTTGATGATGATGAAGAAGAGAGGAGGAATCTTTTTAACCCCGGTTTCTTCTTCCAGTAACTCCGCGCTCGGGTTTTGCCTTTTAGGATCGCTACAGGGTTGGGTTTTTTTTTTGGTTTTTTTTTTAAGTACTGTGAAGGGGGGTGGGGAAAGATGCGAAGAAAAATGGAATAGTTTGCAAAGCGCGGACTGCCCCCTCTCTCCTTTTTTCCCGGTAGGTATTTTGTCTCCCTCTCTCCCCGCGCTCGGAGATGAGCGAGTGTCAGTGAGTGCTGGCAGGTTGGCTGCCGGCTGCCTTATAGAAGAGGCTCAGTTTTGCAGCGCTGATCGGCGGGAGAATGAAGTGACGGAACCCGGAAGTGGCGGTGGCCATAGCCAGTCCTGCAGCGCGGCGGCGGCGGCGGCGGCGGCGGGGAGCGGCGGCGGCGGGAGCGGGGCGCGGCGGCGGCGGCG